ACGAGAGCGGCGCCGAGAGGGGCGGCGCCGCCGCCGCCAGCACCCCGGACTACGGGGAGAAGAAGCTGCCCCAGGCGCTGATCATTGGGGTCAAGAAAGGGGGGACCCGCGCGCTGCTGGAGGCCATCCGAGTGCACCCGGACGTGCGGGCGGTGGGCGTGGAGCCGCACTTCTTCGACAGGAACTACGAGAAGGGGCTGGAGTGGTACAGGTAGGACCCCAGCGGGGCCGGGACGCGCACCGGCGCGGGGAACGGGGTGGGGGGCCCTCCCGGGGAAGCACGGCTCCCCTGCCTCCCCGAGATGCCTAGGCGCAATCCGGAGAGCCCGGGTCTCCACGGGGGTTCCCCCCCCAGAGTCCTGGCTGAGGATACTCAGGGGAGGGGAGGGGTGTAGCTTGGAAGGTTGGACTCCACCTGGCAAAGCACCCCCCCCCCCCCATCACTTGATTTCAGGGCAGCCAGAGCTCGGGTCCCGTCCTGGCCCTCAGCCTCCTGCTGTGGGAATCTTCCCAGCTCTGGGGATCCCCCCTCCCACCCGCTTAAGCCTTCATACCGGTGGGGTGTGGGGGGGCTGTTTCCTAAAGCAGGCTATACCCCCCAACACCTTAGAACTCTGGGATCCTGTGTGGGGGACACGGAGGAGGAACCAGATGGCAGAGCTAAATTGACAAAGGGCTTCGGGGATCCCCAAGAGTCCCTCGAAAGAGCACCCCATCTCCCCCGGGGTGGCTGGAATCAACTTTAGTATTTTAAGGTCAAAGCAAAAGGAACCAGGGGATCGTTATAAGGAGGACGGAACCTGGTGCTTTGGCTTTCCAGTAAAGATGGGGTGGGGGGTGATGTGTCCCCCAGAATAACAACTTTTCTATCTCTCTTGGGTTGAACGGCGGGCGCTCCGGGTTGAGTTTTGCATCAAGGGCTTGGATGACTGAGTCACAGTTGGTGCTTTGAAGGAACCGTTGAAGCTCTGGAGTATTGCTCCCCTTGCCCGGTGCTCTTTCTGATCTCCCCCTCCTTTGGTGACTGATGGACACTTCATGTCTAGTGAGGTGACCGCGTGCTTACCTTCCCACCTGCAGCCAGCCCCTCAGCTGGTGGTGTGGAGGGGAAGGGGTGGGGCTGGTGGAGAGGACTAGAAAGTTCAGTGCAAGTGAAATGAAGGGAGAATCTAACCTTTCTCACCCAGCCATACCTTTAAATAACAACCAGCGTGTAGAAAGTTCTAAAGGCAAAAAAAAAAAAAAAGAAAAAAAGAAAAAAAATCCTCTCTGGTTTTCTTTCCTTCTTTCCTCCTGTTTGCCATCTTTCTGGGAAACTAGAGCTAGATGACTGTCCCCGCTCCCCCACCTCCAATCTCGAATTGCATTTCAATAAATAATGGTAGGCATCAAACAGAAACACAACTTCCCTTGGCTGAAAGAGATGTTATCATTTCAATGGAGCCACTAGATAAAATTGTGGGGTGACAGGGTTGCCTTCCTGCTCAGAGCTGTGCTTTCTAGGTTTAAAGCACTACCTGGGGGAAAAAAAAGTTTTAGAAATGACTTCAGAAATATATAAATAAACAAGGAATGGTGGGTATTGGGACTGGATTGGGTTTTTTTTTCTCAGTTAAAAAAAAATCTGCCTTATGCTTTTAAAAGCTTGAGAGGACATGTAGGCATAAACATTCCAGCACATTCCACGGCAACAGCCCGAATGTGTCTGTTAATGTCTTGTCTGTTTCAACAGCAAGAACTAATTGCAATGTTTTAGGAGGCTTCAGACAGTCCCTTCCTATCAAAACATAAAACAGCAAATGCCTAATTTAACTGGGGGGAAAATCAGTATTTATAACATCACAAGCCATGGCTTCCAGTTTGTGATTATAATTAAAAAAGGTGTTAGGATGATTAATGCAAAAACAGCAAAATTGAGACAGGGAAGGATGTCTGGGAAGGGTTTAGCTGTTTAATTGTTAGTGATGGGAAGGTTTGAGTTTCTTTGGTGGGGTCGCTGGAAGCCTTTTCTCCCCACGGACCCCCTTTTCTAATTTTGTCTGTACCTCTTGAGTCAGGAGCCCTTTCCAGGGAGGAAGGAAATCCAGTCCTTCCACAGTGTGTTTGGGATTCTTTGCAGCTGCTGGGAATTTCAAAGGGGTATATTCTTCAGGCAGTTTAAAGTTGAGGGGTGCTTGAGGCAAGAAAGCGTCCTCATGGGGTCTGGGATTTTCTGGAGGTGAAGGAAAGAATATGACAGGTTTTCTTAGGTTCTTTTTACACTGAAGCTGGGAAGAGAAGGTACGTAAATTCCCTCACTGGCACAATGTGAGGACTGAAGACATACTGGTGATGCTCCCAGCCAGCAACCAGGGGTACAGGGCAGGGGAGGGGTGGAGGGAGGATCCATGTCAATATTTAATAGCCATCCATCCATCCATCCATCCATCCATCCATCCATCCATCCATCCATCAAGGGTGTGGGTAGAAGGAGATAGGCTTGGTTCTCACTTAAGATGATCATGCAACTTCTCCCGGTCTGGTCCTTCATTCCTTTGCTTTCCACATCTTTGCCTGTGATTGATCTTTGCCATGCTGGGTGGGGTTGACTGGACATGCAGGAGGAAAAAAGCCAAAAATCCTCTTGAGAATGAGCTTTCTGCTAAGATGTGTCTGTCGAACACAGATCGGTGATGATGTGAAACCTGGCTGTAATGGAAGTGCCCTTTGGAAGCTGCTGGGCTTCGGAAGAGCCCAGTTTGCCAGCCTTGCCTGTGGGCGGTTCTGCCCTCTTATTTTGCAGACCATGGCAAAACAAAAACCAGAATAACCCCTCACATGTGTGAGGTTTTCATAAGTTATGTCATCTCGTCATACCTCCCCTCTGTCTCATTTCCATGAAAAGAGGGGACAGCGTCATACTCGATTGCAGAAGAGAAACAACAGCTTTGATTTAAACCCATCGCTTTGGAACCCTTGGTCCAACGGTAAACCTTTCAGATAAGGAATCTCTACTTCCCTGCTACTATTCCTTTTTGTACCCAGGAATGCTATAGTGTGTATTTGCCTGATGTGAGATCCCCAAGTTAATTATAACATGGTGAAGTTTCCCCTATCGTTTATTTACACTAATTTTTTTTAAACATACGTTTCCAGCAGCCTATTGATTCTGTACGTGACGTGGCTCAGGATTTGGGGTTTTCACCAAGAGGGAGTCCTCAAGAAGAAACTGGGGCCGCTTGCTGTCAAACACAGCTGGTTCAGGTTCCTTCGTTCCAGTTAATCAACTCGAGTAGGTTCATTTTCTTGGGTGACACTCAGTGATCCCTAAATCCGGGCATTTGCTTTGCTCCTGACGCCGTTAATCTGATGTGCTGTATAAACACATTGGAGAACAGTTCTGAGCAACAGATTCTCTCACTGGGCAGCATTGATGAATGGATTAGTGTGTGTGTGTGTGTGTGTGTGTGTGTGTGTGTGTGTGAGAAGTCTTTGGAGAAGCTAGCTCTGCTTAGCAAATTGAAACAAGTCAGTGATTAAGAAGTTGGGGTGAATTCAGCCCATCCAGCCCTGCTTTCCTGTCCCCCTTCGACAAATGAAGCTTCCAGAATGAGCTATCTGGACAGAGATCTTGTACTCTTATGAAGGATCGGACTTGGGTAGGCCCCTGGCTGCCTATGCAGAACTCATCAAAGTGACACGGATTCACGTGGTGACCTGCCACACAGGGACCATGACGCTGCTGTGGTCTTCCCACAGCTCCTGGGTGATGGGAGTTGATGTGGCATGATTTGATTCGTTGGCTAGGGGAAAGAAACCCCGGGAAGATGCTTGGAGAGATGAGTATCAGCTCTGTGGAGGAAGGAGAGGAAAGTGTCCCATGGTCTCTCATGATACCTGGAGACAAGGAAGGATGGATGGAAAGGTCGGCATTTACAGACACGCTGTGGCATTTGAGCGTCTGGAGGATGCTATGAACAGCATTAGCAAGCGTTGTCATTCCGCAGGCAGCGCCTGCTCTGTTCTGGGAGGCTCTGGGTCACTGTGAGCCGTTGTCTGAGCTGAGATTTGAACCTGCAGCCTTCCAGTTTCAAAGTGTTTCACTCCTCATTGACATCCATTAAGTACCAAAATGACCATATGCTTTCCCCAGCTGCTGCTGCTGCTGCTGCTGCTCCTCCTCCTCCTCCTTCTTCTGTGGTGCTGTTACTGGGAGTTTATAGAGTCTAGTGCTGGTCAGGAAGCTCCACTCCTTGAGCCACATTTCCAGACCTTTGCAAGTCTTTTTTTTTTTTCTCCAAGGGTTTTTATTTTCTTCCCCAGGACATTTTGGACTTCAGTCTTATTTACACTTCCTGTATAGCTGGATGATGGGTGTGTGTGATATCATGGACAGCTATTGGTTGAGTTGGATCTTGTGATCTCCATTGCTCAGGCTAGCCTCAATTCACAATCGTTTTGCTCTCTACCACCCATGTAGCTAGGATTACAGAGGCAAGCCTGGTTGGTCCGATGCCTGTTTGATAAATACTGACCAGGCACCCAGTACGGTTTTAGGTACAGACTAAAGTTGCTGGTGACTTAAACAGGTTCAGTTCCTCTTCTCCTGGACCTTCTGTTTTAGCAGAAGGACTGGGCAGACCTCAACAAAGCAAACCAGCAAGCATATAGGGAAAATTCAGAATGTGATAAAACCCATTAAAAGGAAAAAAAAAAGAATCAGCCGCTAATTGTGACCCAGAACATTTTTGCCCAATGTGATAGCTTCTACCTGCATGTGGCCATTGAACCCATAAACCATCCAAACTGAAATCCAGCGCTATAAGTACAAAAATACACAGAATGCTAAATTGCTCATTGACAATGTCCCTGGAAGACAGGTTGAAATTCCGATACTAAGGTTGAGCCAGATGAGATCTATGATCAAATTAATTTCCCTTCTTGTCACCTTTTCAGTATGGCTCCTAGGAAATTTCATAGCACACTTTTGCCTCACATTGTGGTTGGGTTGGGTTTGCGTAGTGTAGAATTAGCTGTTGAGAATGGAAGAGTGCATGAGTCACAGGGGGATTTAACCTGTGGATTCAGATCCAGCCTGTTGGAGGAGGAGGAGGAGGGAGAAGGAGCGGGAGGAGGAGGAAGAGGGGGAGGAGGGGGGGAGGAGGAAGAGGGGGAGGAGGAAAAGGAAGAGGAGGAGGAGGAGGAGGAGGAGGAGGAGGAAGGCCTGAGAAG